TCTCTCTCTCTCTCTTCCCCAGCCCTTAGAGCCTAGCTTCCCTTTCATCTGTTTTTTTTGGGAAAATTCCCTTTCATCTGTTATGAAGCTAGATCTGAATAACAGAACGGTTTTTGTTCTCGAAACCTGTTTAAAAATTCATTTTTTTACCAAAACCAGATGCGTTCCTCCTGTTCGGTAACGATTCTAGCTATTTAATTTGCAGATCCGTTAGAAAAACTCTTCTGTTTTACCTCCTATGTTCTCCTTTTTATAGGAAGGAAGCTAATAGTATTTTAAAGTTTTTTCCTGATATTATTTTCTCATCACAGGTTGATAAAACTATGGCAAACGGATGTGCGTTTCTACAGAGCACCTTCTCAGCCGGCGACCGTACGGTCATCTGTCCAAGACCTCGAAGACTTTTCGCCGCCTCCGCCGTCCGCCCTCTCCGATGCTCCGCCGCTTTTCCGTCGGAGACTTCGGATCCGAAATCCACTAACGATCTGGTCGACATCCTTTTCCCAAAGGTTTGATTTTTTTAGCTCGTTTAAGTTTGTTCTGCGCCTTCTGATCTAAAACCAGTGGATCTGATTAGTTGATATCCTTTTCCAGCAATCGGATTCTACGCCACCCTTTTTTTGTGGCTCGCCGCCGTCCAGATCCGACAACCCGGTGGTCCACGACGCCCGTTTCGGCGAGGCGGTTCTGGCCGCTCCGGTTCCCTTCGTTCCAACGTTGATCGGATCCGGATCCACATCCGCCGCGTCGCGGAGCGGCTGTACCCGTGTCCGTTACGGCCTCACGCCCGCCGCCGTCCGCGTCGAGGGTTTTGATTGCCTCGACCGTGAGAGCAGCCGCAGCCGCGGCATCCCAGCCTTCGCATAGGTCCTCCCGCATAGTTGTAGTATGCGGTTACTAAAAAAAATTTGAAATCCCTGCTTCTTTAAAGGGTAAGAGAGCCCAGGAGAAGATTAACTAAAATTGCTGAGCCAAAGACAAAAAATTCGAGATTAATTATATATTTACTTGTAAATCTTGGAAGTTTTAAATGGTCTTTGATGGAATTTTTGTGTATGTAAATATAATGATGAAAGCAAGGTGAGATCTTTATGTAGAATTTTAATATTTAGAGTCATTGGGTCTGTAATTATGTAAATATATCTTTTATTTAATGTCAGAAATTAAGGTTTTATTATGGCTTATTAAATGTGATAGTGTAATTTTCTTTTTTGTTTGGTTTTTTTTGGGAATTTTTGTGTTGGTTACAAGTTGCGTGTAATGGTGGAGATGATTGATTATTCAACGTGGAAAGGTTGGGAAGTGGTTGACAACACGTGATTCTTGACTTTTTTATTTTATTATTTAAAGGGTTTGTTTTGTAATATTATAGAAAGTGTTAGGTTTGATGCCTAAAGTGAGTTGCTCATCGAGATCTCACCTGTACTTTATTTTGAATTATTACTGATTGTAGAATGTTTTCATATGGGGAAATTTTTGTAATAGAATATTATGATTAATTAATTGGTTTGAAGAAATTCTGAAAATTTTAAATAATATTGAGATTTAATTTAATTAAATTTTTTGTTGAGATAATTTAAATTAATTTTTTTTATTATGATGATATATGTAGTTTAAGACTGTAGGATTTATGCATAAATTGTAAGCATTATGTAAGAGAAGTTTTTGGATATGAGGAATTTATAAGATAAATAATGAGCTTAGTAATTGAAGTAATAGCTTTAAGTCAAGCATTACAAAGGCTTCACAAGTAGGAAAAATTATCATGTGCGGACACCAGATAATTTTCAGAGACCAATCAGAATGCCATTGAACAATTGTTACTAACAAATAGCATATGTTAGTTGTTATTGATAGTATTAGATGATGGTCGATAACAAATAGCAAAAGTCGAGCAATGTTTGGCATTTGAATTAATTAATTTGAAAAATATAGGAGTTTGGATGACTGCGAAGATGTGCATCATACATTTGCGAATGATGTGCAGGCAAGTGTTAGTCATTAGTAAACAAGGGATGACAACCAATATGGAACATTAAAAGTTCAATGAAGGTAGTGGTCAACCTATTCATTATTCTTAAAAAGAGGGGAGACTTGAAAGATTAGCATTGATCTTAATGATTAACATAGGTCATTTATCGGATGGGTTGTTCAAATTCAAGAGATTGTTGCCTATCAACTTGGTCTTTCTCATAAGAAAGGAGATCAATATGTAGGAAACATGCTTAGGATGTAGATGGAGAGAAGCTAATGCTAATGGTCCATATAAGTGGAGGTATGAGTCGCTTGACTGTTGGGTTCATATGATAGGTGTTTGTTAATGTTGATAGTTGATAAATGTCTATATCATATAATATCAATGTTAGTAAAATGAGAGAGAGAGAGAGAGAGAGATTTTGATGTGGAAGGAAAAACTTGATTGGAATTGGCTTGGACCTTGGCTTTAAAGGATGGGTAATGGAGAAAAGAAAATGGTGAATGATGTTTTGATGGTTTTAAGGGTATGGAAGGAGTGTAGGAGGTTATTAAGGTTGATGTGTGTGGTGGATAAAATTAAAATATAGAGATGGTGATAGAGTTGAATCATAAAGAGAAAAACCTTCAAATCATCTTATTCAAAGGATTTTGATCAACCATTATTCCCGCCACGCACATAAAATTTAATGCGTTAACTTTGTTAATTCATTTAATGATTGATAAAAAAAGAGTAATATATGGTTTTAGAAAAATATAATATAATATAATTCAATTATTTATTAATAATGATTTCAACCAAGCCATGAAGGAAAGGGGGGTGCTTCTTATTGCAATCAAATTTATAAACTAAGGATCTAAGATCACAACATGTATATGTATAATAAGAGGAAGTGGTGTGTCATTATTCTCAAGGAGATAAATCTTATTAGGCATGTTAAGAGGGGAGAGATCAAGAAAAGGTAAATTAAAGATTAGAGATAACAAGTATGTATATCTCAACCAAGAAAGGTATAAGAAGAGGCCCATTAGCGAGCACATTAAGGTATCTATTCACTCAATTTATTGGAGAGTCCATCATTTATATGAATCTCAAAAAGAAAATCATAACTTCCTTCTTAAAAAGGGAAGCATGAGTGGGTAAGAAAATGCATAATTAATCATATAAGTAAGATTTAAGATCTGATATCATAATGAGCCTTTGCATATTAAAAGATAATAATGCATCGCCTTGCTTAGTGAGCAGGGGCGGATCCCGACCCTTTGAGCTAGGGTTTATTAATTTGAACCCGTCAAGGGGTGCTAAGCCTTTGGACCACTAGCAGTTGCTTATAAGTTTGCACCCCCCTAATTTTGCCCTTGTTAGTGAGGGTTGTCTCATCAATCAACTCTCAATAGAACGTGCGAGATAATTCAAACATAAGATATAAGAGCATAATAAATATGTGAAGTGGTGTAACATCCTTCTTAGAAAGGTTATGGTTTTTTGAATGCGTACCTAAGATAAATGAATAACGATGGCCATCATAAATGATATCTAAATAAGATAGATAGACATGATCATCATATTGCATATTTAAAGTGCGAGGAATCGTAGCTAGAATGAATGTTTATGAAATAGAGATTAGTAAGTGAGTCAAGTAAATTCAAATAGAGGCTTGCATTATATTTATCTTTGGACACTAGCTTGATCTTAAAGCTAGACTCATGAAAATCAGGTTAGGGTTTCTTATCTAGCAGTTTGCAAGGGAAAGATTTAATGGCTATAATTTTGTGCTTAGCGCTATATCTGAAGACGTAAGTACTACATAAACAATGATAAGTTGCATTCACGTCCAAAGCTCATTTGTTGCAAGAAGATCATTACATCAATTATAATCTACATACTACTTAATAAGGATTAATCATATTTTGCTCATAAACAAAGATGTGTTGTTGACCTACTTAATTGGAATTGTTTATAAATATTTGTGACAAATAAAAAAATGCCTTTTATTTTTTTATTTATAAAATGATGCTTATAATGCTTATGCAATAATATATATAGTGGAAATAAATTTAATTTTATTAAAATATGATTTTACAACAAATCAAATGAGACCTAATATCAATCACTATCAACACAAAGTGAATATCTTATGTGGATTACTAATTAAGAGGTGGTTGATTGCCTTCTAACCCTGTTGTTATGACCACGTGTTAATCCAACTAATCTTCCATTAATCGAACATTAAGCAAGAAAATTAATGTAAAGCTAATAATTAATTTAAAGTGGGTCCCATTTATTGCTGATATCAATATTTAATTTTCAGTTTTGGGTCATTTAGAAAAATTAGAACCCATATAGCTAATATTTATAGATAATTGACCATTTTAAAAAATAGAAAAAAAAAATATTAAAAAAATTCGCAGAAAATTCTATTTAAATTTTTTCATGCAACAAACTATTTTTATAAAATTAGAAATATCTTACGAAATAAAAATTATCTTATGATTCCATTAAAAAAAATATTTTTAAGGCATAAATATCTGATGTAAAAATAAAAGAATTTGACAAGGCTGACCAGAGGCAAAATTTTCTCCATAAAGTTCATAAAATAATAAAAATAAAAACTACTTCAGATGTTTTACTTTCATATAGTAAAGTCTACTAAGCCACCATATTGAGTCATTTTACAGCCAATATCAATAGGCCCAATTCAATGGGAAATTAAATATGCTGTAACTCATTAATGATCTATTTTAATAAAATGGGGACCTTTTTTTAAAAAAAAAAACTTTTTGAGTCAATTTAATCATAATATTTAGGCATAAATCAATAATAATATTCGATTTTATATTAGGTTGAGAGAATAAAATCATTAAATTTGATACGGCATCACAAAAATTATCTTGATCGGGCACGAATCTCTAGGCAAAAGCTAGTTGGAAACTTCAAAAATTAATTTTGGGAGCACCCGAACTCCGATTTCAGCGAGCTTACATTCAAACTGAGCGTCTCGGAAATACGAACCCAATGACGCCAAGATCAACCCAATCCGAGTCCAAATGAGTCCGAATCAAGGGCTCAAAGTGCTGTTGGAAGGTTCAATCAGCAATTTGAGTTACCAAACGGTCTCCGATTTTGACGAGCTTA